CCCCAAAACCCCAAAACCCCAAAACCCCGCAATTAAAAAGATTGTTAATGAGAGTAGATGAAATATTTTATAAATTTAAAGTTTCAAAATTAATGGAAGCTTCTGCTAATAATAATTTCAAGGGGTACAGGTTCGTGAATGTAGCAAGTTCACCCTCATTCTTCTGCAACAACTTGACTACTAATGACGGTGAACTATATGCCTTCGTAAATAATATGGATTAACAGCCACGAGCACTTCTCTATAACAAAGACCTAGTTGAGAAGGGTGAAATATCTTCTCCTCAAGTCTTACAATGGAAAGATCAAAGTGAATGCTTTGGTCTTAATTATGCTAAAGCATAGGATAAATGGCATCTTTGCGTATCCACAACAAAAGGATGCTAGGTCTGGAATTATAATGGTACAAGGCAGCTAGCATTTGTAGAAAGCAAAAACAATATATTTTTAAGTGCATCAACAGCAGTTGATAAGATTGATGGAAAAGAATTCATTGCAATTGGAACTTGCAATGGAGAAATTCATTAAGTCCTTATTAATGGAACTACTTATACTAAAGAGTTAGGGTTTAAGTTGGTGGATGAAAGTGCTGTTACATCAATGAGCTGTGATTTAAGAAGCAGAACACTTGCAGTTGGAAATAGTAATGGCTATGTCATTATATTCTAATGCGATACTTAATCTGAGTGGAAGCCACTTCATTCAATTTAACCTTAAACTGAAATCCCTGTTCACTCAATCAGTACCTTGAATAGAGGAGACAATGTATTTGTCGTAGGATATGCAAATGGATCAGTCAGGCTTATTTCACCCTCTGGTCAATTGCTTTGCAATTTATCAGCTCACTCTAGAAGTCTTAATGCCTTAACTTGTCATCCAACTAAGTCTGTTTTCGCTACTTGTTCAGATGATACTTTTACTCATATATTTGAAGTAGTTGGTGACAAACTGGACAAATTAAATGTAAATCTTATCCTTAGTTCTAGAGTAAATGATCATCTACTCACAGGTGTAGCTTTCGGTGGAGAGGGCAATAACAGTTTAGTTGTAGCTCCTTATGATTACAAAACTATTGTTGTCTTAAACAACGTAGTGTGAATTAGGATTAATGGATTTCATTTAAAAGTGTTAAACTATTCTAACTCAATTTGATAATTATATATTATTGACTTTTATGAGTTACCTTATTATTCTAATTAACATTTCTAAATCACTTGCTCAATCAATCAATCGCTCTTGATCATTGAATAGATCTTTCTATTAAAGAGGAAACTAGATAAAAATCCTATAGTTCCTGTCATCAGAGCAAAGGATATGGACATAAGAAACATTAAGCAGAAGTATATCACCGAGCTTGAAAACCGAGTAATATCTGTATATACAAAGAAGTAGTAAATTGAGAAGAGATAGAGATATATCCCGCTACTTCCACTAATGTAAAAACTACGCCACCACCATTAATAATTTTCTCTAAAAGATTATTTAAATTAGTTTGATCTTACGCGCATAGTTAGAGATATGTTTGAACTATTGAAACCTCAGCTGAAGTTATAATTAAAATGATTAAGATAAGGAATAAGAAGCCAAACATGTAGTAAAAATAGGACCTCCAAATACTTGTCATTACATAAAAAAGCTCAATAAATACAACTCTAATAATATTATGCGATTGAATCTTACATGAATGGGAAAGCTCCACCTAATGGGATAAGTATTTTCATTCTTAGGAATAATGGCTATTGAGGTATGTCTCTGCTAAGTTTATTGATTTTTCCAGGATTTTTAATAGTTGGTTTTTTGAAACCAATAAATGAGCCAAGCCAAACATTTGGAATAGAGAGTAAGCAATACATTAATAATACTACTATCATTGTCTAGAAAGTTACAGTTGCAGATGATCCTTCAAACCAATTAGCTAGATTCATCATTAAACAAATCGTAAAGACTAAACTTGGAAATAGTAATGATGTCAACATTGTGCATAAAAGCCAATTTACTCCCTAGAACATTTTATAAAATCTCGCTGAATAATATCCACTGATATTGCTTAATACGATAAAGAAGAAAAATAGAGTTGATAACAACGTTCCTCTATGTTTTGGGGATACAATACCAACCACAACGAATATCATAAAGAAAAACACCATGGCAAATATCTGTAAGCCAGTGCCAACTAAAATTGAAAATAGTAAATAACACCTAGGTCTTTTAAACACTTCGCCTTTAACCTTTTTCCACGCGATTTCATCTAGAACAAAATCTTCCTCTGGCTTTTCATCATCTGATTTTTCTTAAAGTTGCTAGTTATTACTCTTTGGCTATTCAGTATCTTCTTATGGTACACTTTGAAATTGCTATGGCTTTTATTTATTGACTTTTTTCTTTAATTTTCTCAGTCTATCTTATTATCTTTACTTGATCATTTCATAAATGATTATGTCTCGCTTTAAAGCCCTTCTCATAAAATAGGCAATGACTCCAGCCAAAAAGATGACTATAAATAGAGACTTCGTGATTGATATCCAATGAACTTTGTCCTCACCAACTTACAGATAATGATCCCATCTTGATATCCACTCATCATTACTTTTCTATTATTGATTTAATGTAATTTTTATATACCTCAAATGTTATTGAGTAGGTAAACGGTATTTCATCATCTCTTTTGAGTTCTTATCTGAAATTTGACTAGCAGATATGTCTTTCCCCTTCATTAACTTTTTCATAAAGTCTATAAATTTTAGCCTTAAAAATATTAATTTTACGAAATTGGTTCGATGTTAAAACCAACAATTTTGTATGAGTCCTCTATTTCTCTTGACTCGTGTACTAAGATGGTCGTTTTTAGATGATTGTAAACGAAATGTCTCTCATTAAATGGATCGTAGAGTCCGAGTGGAATTCCATTAGTATATTTAACAACTTTAGTTTTGTTTTCAGTTGTCACATATGCACTTGGCAAATCATCCACGAACATTGTATAGTGATAGTCTCTTTCAATCATCCACTTAAAATTTTCATCCTAAATATATCCATTCTTTTTGCTACAAAGATATTCACATTATTTATTCTCCATCATTTTAATCTATACTCAATTTTTGCTTTCAAATAATAGAGCATACTTTATAAGGAGTGTTGGCTATGTTATCACCAGTGATTGCATCTGCCACTCCTTCAGTTTTATAAACAAGACTTTCTGGTTCACAAAAGTTTAGGTAGTAAAAATCAAATGGTAAGTGAGTCCTTATTGAATCTAACCTTCCTGCCTAAATTTCCAACTCTGTACCTTTGAGGAACTCATTTGGATTAAATCCATCGAAGTTAAAACTTTAGACTGATGAAATAACCGATAAAACCAAGAGAATTGATGACTTTAAAATTCTCATTTTTTCCATTTAATTATTCCTTATCATTTAAATTTTGAAATTATTAGAGTTAGGGGTTTTGGGGTTTTGGGGTTATTTCATCGGTCTAAAGTTTTAA